TGTAACAATGCTGCTAAAGTTCTTCTAATTTCCTTCTTTGACTTTTTTAATGCTTTCTTTCTTCATATACAAGCATCAGCCTTTGCTAGGACGTTCTTTCTGAGTCTATAAAAAGTATATAAATGAATGAACAACAATAACATTATGTTTCATTATTCTTTGCCCTTTACCACGTACAAAAAGACTCATAAATAAGTTACAGAGTGCAATGCTCATCAACATAGCCTCCAGCACTTCTCATTTGGAGTCTCACTCATCAAAGGGCATTCTACCACGGTGCAGGCATTGAGGTCATAGTCCAAGGGGAAGGGCTTTTCTTCATACAGACACAGGATAAAATTGTTCTTTGGCTTCTGATTCAGTGAGAAAAGTAGATTAAGTGGCATAGTGATTTTCATACTCTGAAAATCTGTGATGAGAAATCTGATCTTGACAGGTGATTTTTTTTCCTGTGGCTGAATAAGGTATTTGTGAAGATAACATGTTGATTTGTACATGTACATGTTTTATATGCATTCAAATAGCATAGCATAGCATATCAGATTCTTACTGGATGTAAATCAGTGTAACTATATCAATATACATCAACTTTCTGTAAAGTTGTTCAAAGAAGAGCTGCTATAAGGCATCTTTCTGCTCATAAATTTCTGCACATACACACATGCATGCACACATATATCTATATATATAAACTAGGTATTTCCATTTAATGCAACCTGACATTTATACTTTTGGCAAGTGTTATGGCAGGAATTATTCCCAACTGCTACTAAGAATTATTTCAGATGAAATCACCCTTGTATGCTTATGAAGAGGGAAAACATGGATGCTTTATACTGCTTATTGTCTTGATTACACTTTCCACGTTCTTTTCTTTGAAGTTTAGTGGGTACTAACAGACAGTAGATGTTGATCCCACGGCTAGGGACTTTTGGCCCTGTTGGTGCATAGCATTCTGTTTCCACTCTCAGCTGAGAGTCTAAACTTAGAAACAGTTTACATTCATACAGAAATAATTCTATAAGAAGATATAGCAAGATGCATATAACCACACAAGCTGCAGGACAGTGTATAATCAGATCACAGAGAGAACGTTCATATCATTATAATGTGATGTTCTGACATTCAGCCTATACTGGGAAGCAGGCTTGAATTCAGTCCCCCCCTGCCACCCCACCCCTCAAAAGTCTTAATTGATGCAGGACTCCACTGGATTGGATTCAGTTTTACAAAGACTTACAGACATATAAGCAGGGAAATAGTGCTTTGTCAGTTTTATTGAAGATATTAAGACCAAAATTACCAAATAACTGTATTTCATCAGGAGGAATTCTTCAGTTTGCTCATAAAACAGAAATAAATCCTTTGGTATTCACATATGCTGTTACTATCTACTTACTTCTACAATCACAATGCACATTAAGCAGGAGTGCTGGTATTGCACCTCATTCTCAAAACCTGTTGTGTTTTGCTGTTTGAGTTAGATATAGCACCTGATTATCATTTTAAAGTATCTTAATAGTGTCAATAGACTTCTCTGTAAAAAAGTGAAGAAATGTCTTGATTCCTTAGGGAGAGAGGAATGACTACAGATGATCTCTTATAATTATAGCCTGGATTAAACTCTATTAGTTTTAAGCATTTTGTTGCGGCAGACAAACCAGGGTGAATGGTACCTTCTGGAGTCCCAGGGAGAGAGGCTCTATAGAGAGTGATCCAGGTCTTAGATGGACCAAACTGACCTTTTCAATCACTTATCCTTTTTCATGGACCACAGGGGGAATTTATGCTAATGGTTATCTAATAGGCACCTCAGTCAAGGATCAAAACATGAGAAAGAATGAATCAGGACCTATATTTCTCTCTATATATATTTTTAATATAAGCAATATTTATTCTCTGGAAGAGGGAGTGTGTCTGCTAAGCTAGCAGTGATTACAGACGTATTTGGGGAACTTCACATATCACTCTTCACCTTTAAGGACAAGGAGAGCCTGCTGCTTTTCTTATGACGGTGACTTGTTAAACTGTTCTTCATTGCTACATGGAGCATCTCCCCACAGGAAGCCACCCTCTTTGTACTGCATAAATTCTTTTGATTTTATTGTTGAATGTGACTTTATCAAGTAGTTCTTGATATTTCAGAGTATGTGCAGTATTATGCAGCCCACTGTATTCTTCTTTGTTGCTTTTTGACTTGTACTAATTTCCTAGGGCATTCATCAAGTTAGTTGTAGATTTCCAATCTGACTGCTCAGTTAAGACTTCTTCTTCATCTCGTGCTGTTACTGGTTCTGGTCGTCTTATTCCCCTGGGCTGATGACTTGCCTATGGTTGAGATTTTATTTATATTTTCCTATGTTTTTTTCTTATATAATGTTAAGGCTCAAATCTGTTTGGAGGAATTTGTACACAAGTGGAATTACTTAGCATCCAACCATCCAGCTCCGAATCTAATAATTAGAGATGAATGAGTACATGAGCACCCATGCTTACCTCAGGCTTTCTCAACCAGCAGAATAATTAACCAAGTACCTCAGGCGTGCTTGCCTTAAAAAGGAGAGATCTCCAGAAACATAGTGTTACAGTTCTGTAAGTCATCAAGGATGTTTTGCCTAGCTGAAAAATATACGAATATATTCCCCTTTCACTTTGAATGACACTTGGTTTCTACCTAATCGCCTCTTTTTCTCTTAGATCTTAATCATTTGCATCACTCTCTACAGAAAAAAAGATCAAAGATCAGAGGGTTAGAAGATAAGAAATAGATTTCTTAGCTGGCCCATTGTGATGTATAAAGAGGAACAAAAAAGTTGAGGCCTATGGGAGCTTGTCTCTCCCTTAGCATTAGAAATGCTAGGACAATGATGAGACAGAGTTTTACTGGTTTTAACTGTGTCATGAATAAACATAGTCTTCAGTAGGCAGAGCACCTTTTACAGGCACTATGTTCACTAAAGGAACCAAATGACTAGCTCATGAATTTTTCTTTATCACTCACTCTGTTCTTACATAGAGGACAGGATTAGAGAGCAAGAGAAGCATTATGAAAAAATATTAGAAAAAAAGTGCAAACAATTTTATCCATTATAGTTCTGCAGTATTGTAATATTATTGAATTTATTAGTAATCTAGAATAAAATCTTAAATTAATATATGTGTACACAGGTCCCAGATTTAGTGTGTGTCTATGCATGTCTCTCTCTCGGTACATATAGTTGTTTAGTTTGTTAGGAATGTTTCACTGCTTCAATCCATGTCTATGGGACATTAGTAGATGACACAGGTTGTGTTTTATGTGTCCACATCTGCTTCTCATAACTCACAGCTGGGGTTATGATAGATGAGGGTGTCAGATCAGTGTTTGAAAGCAGTCAAAAAGACAAATCAAATTACAATAGTTATTAAGAAAGGTAAATAGAGCAAATAATTCCACTTTATAAATTCATAGTTTGACCGTGACCTGAGTAGTGCGTGCAATATACAATAGAACTGGAAAAAACTCAAAGGATAAAAACTGTGATCACAGTTGTATGGGACAGCTTCTTGTGTGCAAAGCAGTTGAATAGTCGAGGTGTATTCAGCCTGGAAAGGAGATGACCTGGGGAGATACAGCAGGGGCTTGCAAAAGGAGGAGGAGTATGAGAGGATGGTAGGAAATGACCATTTGCTATATCTCCTAGTATGAGAAATAGGGTTCATCAGATGAAGCTAGGAAGAAATAAGAAAATGAACTTATTAAGATGTTTCTACGTTCAACTGATTGTTGACTTGTGTGAATAGGTTGCCGAGAGAAACTGTGATATCCTTGAAGATATTCAGAATCGGACTGGACACAGACCTGAGTGACCTGCTTTAGTTGTCCCAGATCTAAGCAGGAGGAGGTTGGATTAGACGATCTCCATAGGTCCCTTCTGACCTTAGCGATTGTGTGATTCTGTGAAAATTTCCGTTAGATAATGTGGATGAGGAAGTTCATTTGATTTCAAGGTGAAACATAATAAGTCCTTGGAAGATAGATCGATTGGGAGATATTAAATAGACAAAACAGTTGGAGGTTGGGAGACTATTAGAGAGAGACAGCATAATGATTATACATGCCTGTCCTGTCCTAACTCATCCCTAGAAAACCACTATTAAAGTCAGACCTAACTGAGTTAGACCTAACGAGGAGGGAGGCTCATATCAAGTCCTTCAGTTAATATTATGGCCCTAACACTCCCCCTCCGATTCTGGGAAGAGCTAAACAAAAACAGGCAAAAGCTTTCAGAAAATGGGAAAAAGAAGCTAAAGATGAAGACTGTACCTTGAAACTCTCATGGAGTGAAAAAACGTGGCTTCAGGATGGAGAATGGTTCCCCGTAAGTGATGTTTTCACAAGTATATCAAAGACATCAGCCATGACTTCAGTCACAGCTTATGGAAATTGTTCTTTCTGGCAGATTTTACATGTCTTGCCTGGGTCTTCAGTCTCTCTCAAGATGAATTCTTCCATTCTTACACTGGAGGTGGACACACAGGAGATATAACACATACGCGCATCCTGTATAGAGCAACTCCTCATCAGATAAAAGGACAAGGTCTGTCACATGCTATTGGAGAAAGAAAAGGCAAAATTTCCTCCCTTTGGATTAGCTGTTCCGCACAACAGGGAGATGAGAGGTAAAACTTCTGGCTTTTCTAGCACTGCCTTTTCAAGCGGCCACGTTCCTTGGCTGTAGGAGGACTCCGCTCATGTGATGAAGTGCTGTTGTTATGACAGTACAATGAGGCACAGTGTAATTTATGGGGTTTCTTTCTTCTTGGTTTCATGACTTACTATAACACTTTTCATCTTATTCTCACTGTCAGTGGTAGACTGCGAAGTATGTTTATGTGCGTGCAAGACAAGAAAGAGCTGCCAGATCATGAAAATTCTTGACTTAGAGGTCAGTATGCTGTCATATATACTTTATACTGAATATGCACCTCAGAGTCATGCCTATAAGTAAGGTAGACCAAATACGTTGTGCGCTTGAACAGCCACTGGTGCACTACCTATTTTCCACCACTGACATTGCAGATATCCTACCCAGCATTATCTTAAGCATCACCATCTCATCTTCAGTAGCTGTTATTTCAGTCAAATCAATGAATCCTTGCTGAAAGATTTTTCTGAAGCTGTCCACATGGGTCCAACCTATATTTATTGTAGCCATCTTCAGACTAGAGGACGTTTAGCAGCTTTATTAATACAGATTTATTCATGCTATTTATGGGTCAGAATTAAGAGGAGGCAAATAACAAAGATAAATGTCATGTAGCACCTTGGTCAACCTTGCGAGAATGCACATGGGAAGTGTTACACTGGAAGAAAAAACAAAAAGAACAGGTGAAACCAATACTACTTTGCAGATTTTTTCTGTGGATTAGTTAGAAGGGGATTCACTTTAGTCATCTAAATCTGGTAGGAAATATTCATTCTAAGATATATCTTTAAGATAACTGGGTTAAAAATATTCCAGAGAGGGAAGGAAATTAATTAAGGGGATTCACATCTATCTTTGAAATCTCTTCAGCTTCATATTTATGGAATTCCTTTACTGACTGTTAGTAGATCACACTTCCTGTTTTATTTTTCCTGATTAAATAAAACGTTAACAACATTATGCCAGAACATTCTGAAACTGTTCAGAAGATGTGCAGAAATCCTCAGAAACCTTTCTTTGTGTATGTTTCTTCCTGCTCAAACCTTCCTGCTCAAAAACTGACGTTACCACACTGGTGGCTGCTGTCCAAGAAGTGTAAAATGTTTATAACACATGGCTTGAGGTTTCATTGACAGCTGATTTTCTATCTTTCAAAGGACTAAGACATACGTGTGAGTCAACATGAGATACTTAGGGCCAGATTTACAGTTGAAATGAATTGGCACAGTTCCAATGACCATGATTGCACCACCTGAAATTGTACAGGCAAGTGCTGGGCAAGCAAATAACAAAGAGATATGAAAATGTCATTATTGCACTGGCAGCTGAATATCAAGCTGCTATTTAGTGCAATAAATCAACTTGTAAATGATCTTCATTGCTAATTGCTCTTATCTTTGAGGCTATTAGTAATGTAATATTTAATTTAATTTTTTAATAAATTAAAAGTTTGGTAAATAAATGATTTAAGAATAGACTAAGCCTTGTAAAGCAACTATGAACAGCTTATAATCATTCATTTTGTTTTTTACTTAAATGAAAGTCTGGAAATGAAGACTTCGTCACTGCAGAATAATAATAATAACAGCTAACATTTGGCAATCAGTATACAGCAAATAGCATAGAGGAAGCTGCAGAGTCCTGCCTGTGTTTTCTGTGAACTATGTTGTCCACATCAGTTTTCTCTTCCCACTATTACAGAATATAATCGTTCATCCATTCAGAGAAGTTACACAATGCTTTTTTTTCTATTCCCTATTGTCTAATAATTCTAGAGCTTTTTAGTCAACATACAGTTCTTGCTGGTCAGAAAATGTAACTTCAAAGGTTCTGGAATAAAGCCGTAGTGGTGGTCAAAACCAGACTGCTCTTGTAGCTGTGTTCCTTACAGTGATATTGAACACAATCAGAGACAGGATATCTACAGCACACCATTTTTAGAAAGCTATTAAATATTACTATTTTGGAATATTTTCCTTAAAATAAATGTAGGAAAATGTGGGTCTTCCTGGATAAAGAAAACAATCTTTTCAAGTTCTAGTCCCCTCTCTAGTACTGCTCTCAACGTAAATTTAATTTGGACTTCATGAACAGTATGATATATTTTTAAAAGATAAATGTATAATGAGAAAAGATTCTGATCATCAGTAAAATCATTTCTGCAAGTCATACCATTTACTATAAGAGATGATTTCAGCTTTCTACAGTACAGTACTCTGTAGATGTCAGTGTGCTTTTGTAAGCCACCCTCTGTACAACGACCGAGCCTAACAAATGATAATGACAGCCTCAGATGACCACTCCATACCGGTATAAAATAGTGGAAGAATATTCATCAGTTTCTGCACATTCCTCAGACACATGGTAGAGTATCTGATGAAAGCATAAGAGAAAACCTATATTTCTCTCCTCCAAGAGCTTTGGGCCAGGGTGCTGAACTCAACAGTAGAAGACCTGGCTGATTTAGCTCTGTTGAGGGTTCAAGCACTTGCCCTAGGGAGAGTCTAATTAATAATAGGAGATAGAACAGCTACAAGAGGACAGTTATGCAGTTTAGACCAGTCTGCCTGCTGAAGCTTTGCTCTGCAGCTTGGGAAAACACCAAAGCAGGGATATTGACTGGCTGGCATAACCTCTAAAGTAATCCTGAGTGTGGCTTGCATGTGTTAGTTTTCCTTACTATGAATTTGGGAAGGTCAGGTTTCATCCCAGGAGTGAATGAGACTGTTTTGAAAGCACAGCTTTTTTGCAGGGAAGGACAATTGGTTCCCAACTACTTGGAATATGAAAGGAAGTTCCACTTAAGCGGCATATTTGCAGATTAGTATAGAGAAGATTTTTTGTGTGTGGATGCATCTAGTACGGGTAAAATATTTAAGTGTTTCTTCTTCATTGCTAATTTAAGTAAGAATTGAGCCTTCTTTGGGATGCAGTTTCCAGTTAATTTTAGAGCTCAGTTGATTCAAGCACCTTCTAACTTCATGAAAAACAATCACTACAGCATAGAGATCCTATCAATCATAGCGAAGTTTGCATGCTTATTTAGCTAGCTTGTAATTAAAGGCAGCTAAAAATATCATGCATGAATAGCAAGTTTCTTCTTTTTTTATTTAGCTCATCTCCTTCAGAGAGAAGACACACGTCCCATCAATCACACAGTTGGTAACTGAAGTCATTATCACTAAAATTAAGGCAATTATATACAAATGAATATTAATGAATCTTCCAGTCAAAATCAGGGTCAGTTCCCAAGAATTTTAATAAAAATATAGAGAACTCCTCGTTCCCATTTAATCTTTTGTCAAATAATCAGTACAGAAAAGGGTATACCTTTTGTATTAAGCTAACATTGCATATATCATGATTTTAATGAAATTAATAGCAATATTTTTCTGGTGTGGTGCAAAGTGATGTGTTAATTAACATTGCTCTCACAAAAAAGTGACATAATGTTACACTGACTTAACTTTAAAGTTGTCACTTCCAGTTGCCACTAGATCTGTTACTAGAAAAAAAAAAAAGTTAGTGCATTGTATGTGACCAGATGAGAGAAAAAAAAAGACTATATTGTTTTGAGGTCCCCCCAAAATTATATGATCTGATCTCTCCCAGATCAGTGTCTGTGTCCCCTACAGCTCAGGAAAGACCATCAGTTAACATCACCTCCTGTCTATCTCAAATCACATTTACTTACAGTGAGGCTGATGTTAGCAGGAAAGGGAATCAGTCATAATAGCTTTCTTCAAAGTGCTTTACCACGTGTCTTTGGGAACAGTCTCAGTAGCTTTAAGGTAGGTTGTGGCACCTGTTAACTGAGCACAGGCACACAGCACAGCAGCTGAGGCAGGAACGGTAGATGCAACTGCATCTCAGTCAAGTACGGAAGTGGAAGGTAAGGTATTTGCCCTGCACTTGCAGGCCAATGGCCTTAGGAAAACTTCCCGGTTATAACTATTAGCCTTTCACTTTTATTAGAAGTAAGATAATCCTTCAGAGCATGATAAGGATCTTTTAATTTTCATGTATTTGTCTATTTGCTGCAAGTGAAAACCACTGTAGCGTTTCCCTCGTCAGCCCAATTAAAAATGGAGAGATTGAGTCACCTGTCACTGAAATTCAACCACCTCTGAGGTGAAGTGTTCAAAAAAGACGAGAAAAATCTGCTCTTGATTTTGATCTCCTTTACACCAGATTTATTCTTTTGCCTAACCACACGAGCAGATGGAGTCACTGCTACGCTGGTGTACACTAGAATGAGCAAGATCAGATTCAAGCTCTTTATTATTATAAATATAAGGGGCAATTAGGTAGGCAGAATGTAATCACTCAAGCTGATGTTTTGTTAAATATAGGAGTGAACAAAATAATTGTTTAGCTTGTAAATCGACAGTCCTTTGCTATTCTGAAATTACCTTAAACTCAGCCTTAACGATAGTCAGGAGCACATTGCAAGGATCCGAGAAGTATATACCTGCAAAGAAATCATGTTTCACATTTAATTTTCAAATTAGGAAAAACCTCAGGAAAATCAGTACACCTTCATTTTGAAGTGTGTAAAATGGAGATGGATTTGAGAAGTTTACATGTTTTCATTCTGTACTTCATGCTGGTTAAAGTAGAAGAGTTATCTGTCTTGAGCATCATAACATTACCATACCATGTCTACAACAATCTCAATTGATTAAAATCCATGGACTGGGAAAAAATGTATTGATTGTAAGTTGCTAAAATCCCAAGAAGAATTGCAAGTGACTCATGTGTGTTTATACTCCTTGAAAACATAAAATGGGCAAGCACTTTCTTTCATTTAACCTGATAACAAAATAAATCATAGATAGATGTTTTGTTTTATAATAATTGATTGCCTTATTCAGTGAAGGTCTCAGGTATTCTCAGCTCATATATATATTGTCCCTCTGAAAGAAACAAAACTTCGTTTTTAAGGTAAACAGCTGCTTATAAATATTGCATATGACTCAGTCCTGCTGAGGAACACTTTCAAGCAAATAAAACAGCCACAGATAAAAAAAAAAAAATTGAGGGCTAGGTAAGCAGCAGTGGAAGGAAACAATAATTTCATAACAAATCTGAGGTTCTAGTTTCATAAGCATTTATCTTGGCATCAACGTTTGGTTGTGCATCCCCCAAGCCTCACTGATTATCGCTGTCTCATCTCACTCCTTCAGATGAACCAGTGAAATCACTGTTAAGTGTCACACTGTGAACAGCATCAGGGAAACTAATTCAGGTTAAAAATACCCATCATATGTTGCTGTGTTTTGGGGGCTTTTGCTGTTGGAAGAAATGATTGTGAATGTATGGCTTATTTAAACTTGCCCTGTGCTCTCTGTATTGCTTTATATCACAGTGAGCAGGATGTTAAATGTTAGTGTTCCAATTAAGTAGTTTTATAGTCATTTCAGATCAAGATAGACTAAAGGTGGCCACAAAATGTTTACAGTCCCAGGATAGCTTTCTAGGGGTCAACATCTTTTTCACATCCTAGTTCAGAAAGAAAAAGTGTTAAAAATACAAATTACACTGAATCAGCATAAATATCATTAATATTATTGTTATTATCATTAGTCTTCTTTATGACAATACTTTCTTTTATTTTTCACTTTTTAAAATTTTTATTGTGTTGTAGTGCTAAGCAAATCTCAAAAATAAAATTAGAAAAAGCCTTCCACTTCAAAATATCATCGAGAAAAAGTTAGCCAGTTCCAAAATGTGTGCCTTGATTATTTTTTTTTTTTAACTGGGAGAGTTGTTATAACTGACATTTATCTATAGGCAATTTTAGTTTTGGCACGCTATGGCTCCACCCACCTGTAACTCCTATGTTCTTGTGTTTTATAACACTGTCATGGGTCTGTGACTGCAGTTACTTTTGAGAAGTGTCTTCACTTCTAATGAAATAGTTGGCTTGTCATCTAGTCTGACAAGAAGATAGGGCAGCACTTAGTCAAGTAGCATTCACCGGGGCCAAGGTTATCGACACAAGGAATTATTGGATAGTAGTTGACATGTGACTACTTGTAACACTGAACATTTCCTTGTGGGTTTGGTCTTTGTGTCTTCTGGTCATCACCTCCTATTTCCGTAATAGTGGTATCGGTAAGGATTATTGGGAATGACATCCTGAGCTACTGAATTCAGGCTCTGCTAAGGTAAACAGCTACACGACATAATCCTTTTAGAAATGTTTTTGCTTGATCTTCAATTTTTTGTTTTGCTACTACTTTGTTAGATTTTTTTTTCTCATTTTGAGCTTATATTGGATCATATCCAATTTACATCCATTTGTTCTTGTGTCACCTTTGCTCAAATGCTTCTTTCTCCTAGTTTTTTTCTTTATTCTTTTTTTGAAAAAAAAAAAGCCAATCTTCTCAGATTCCACCTCGATAAGCTTGACAAAATAAGTTTCACTCTTCTCCATAAAGGAGTATCTATGCTCCCTCTCTACAATATCCTAATGGCACTTCAGTGCATATTTTCAGGCCTGTTTCATCTTTCTTGCACATGGGTGGGTAACTGTCCATAGATTTGGCCTCAGCAGTGCTTTGTTCAATGACACTAATATTGGAAATAACAAATTCAAAAATGTGAGTATTAAAAAAATGCTTGCCTGGATCATTTGTGTGATCCTCATCAGAATCTACTATACCTATCAGTCTCGAATTTTAGAACCCAGATCCTGATGTAGTATTATAGTGGCGTGCTTACCAATGCTGTATGTGCAGGCGAGATCCCTTCTGTTCTTCCTTTACTCGATGCTTCCCTTGATATCTGGGTTAGCTCTCCATAATCCCTTTTGCTTTCTCCCCTCCTTTTCACCCTTATACGTTCTAGCCTTAGCTGCTTTTGCTCCTCCAGTGATGAGGAAGATATGCTATAACAGGATGAAATAACCATACGAACCAGCTCTCGAGAGCCCATGATGGTGCTCTTCCACAATATTACATCTGAGCTATCGCAGCAGAATAAGGTACTAGATGCCTATATGAATTCTCTCTGTACTTTCATTTAGTCACAGTGTTCTTCTCTCTGGCTGCATTTCAGTGGTAGACATGGAGCTTCTTCTACACATTTTATCAGTCAGATAAAACACTTTGGGATCCTGCTAGATGCTGCTAGATGAAAGGTACTAGGCAAAGTCATTACCATTAACTGCTGCAGCTCTCAGCTACAGCTAAGAACCAAGAAACTAAACCAAGCTGTTAGAGACCATCTTAGTACTGATAAAAGAAAATAGTTGACATTTGCTGCTGGCAGTTTTACTTAGAGATATGTGTCTGCTAGCCTGAGAAAGATATCATCAGCTGTGTGAAGTCTGAGAGATCTCAGAGGAAGCAGAAAGAAGAAAGGCCTGTAAAGGACTGAGGTATTTTTTCTGCGTGCTTAGAAAGGCAGAGTGCTTCTGAAATACTAAAACAACTAATGGGACTTACTGGCAGGCACTGGTGAAGGAGCTGCAGTAAAATGTGATCTTCCCTGTTATGAGTCATGACCTTGGATGTTACAGATTCTGCATGAGTAAGAGTAGAGTTGTAAATAGAACTGTTTCAGATGCAATATTGGCATTGAATTCAACACAGAGAGGAACTGGTAGGGGTATGCATGGAAAAAGATCTGATTTGTCCATGTTCTATCACTTTTGAAAACACTGATGCTGAACCACATACCAACTTGGCTCTCAGTCTTTAAAATACACATCAGTTCCAGAATGATATACATAAAGAGAAACTGCATGTTCCACATGCAAAGAAGAAAACATGTAATTAAACAAACATGTTGGGAGAGAAGAAAACGCTGAATATTTGCTCTATATCTATGTTACAATGCTGCCTATTTTAAACTCATACTTTTGTTTTCCTGACATTCTCCTATCCATTGCTGGAGGAATTCCCATGCACTCACTTCAAAATTCCCAGGAGAGGCGTACTACTGAACCTCAAAATTGTCTGGATTTCAAGGCGGCTCAGAAGGAATCTCAAAAGTACAGTTTTTGAGATGGGGCAGGCATGCCTTTTAATGCTGCTTCCGTATCAGTCAGCCTGTGCCACGGCTTTTTTGTGTGTTTTGGAGGCATCTCCTATGCAGGTTGTAATTGTGCGTTCCTCACTGCAGGTCGTGACATCTGGATAAAATATTACATGTCTTTTAGGTGTTCTTCCAGGATGAGGTCCAAAGGTGCTCTAATAATTGAAGAAAGGAGGAGGATTTGCCCTCAAGTATCAACCATCACAAGAGTACTGAAGTAGCCACTCCCTGGTATGGTAACTTTTTTCTTTTTTGTTTTGTTTTATTTGACTTTTGCTTTCTATGTTCAGGATAAAGTCTTCTAGCCTAAGGTAGGTGGAGTAAATGACCAAAGGCCATGTGTCTATTTTCCACAGAGAAAGTTTTGGGGACAAGATTAGAGCATATTTTACCTGTACTGGCTCTCCTTAGTCTAAATTTCTAATTTTAAGAAAAATGTAATGGAAATAATTGCATCCAGGAAGATCATCATTAAAACTATCAGGCAAATAGATCCCACTATAGTAAAGCATGTGAACACGCACTTAACTATAAATACATGAGTACATCTTCCCCTCTTTGCTGGAGAACTTCTTTATTTTGTGCTTTATTTTGAGGATCTGTGTAGCTACACTGAAATCAAATACTGTAGTGAATTGGAGCCATAAATTTCATTTATTACAGAAGTCCCACTGCAGTGAATGGCACTACTAACATGAGTAAAGACAAAAGGTAACAGCTTTTAGCATTAAAAATTATTTTGGAGATCATAGCATGTTTTAAACATTGAAGAATATGTAACCTTCATCTCCTTTTCAGTAAAATCTGCTAATAAAGACAATGGCAAGAATCTAGAATTTTGAATTTTCACTTCAGCATCTATCGGGAGTCCATCTTTTCTTTAAAAAAAAGCGTAGATGTAACTTTCATGAAATGAGCCCTGCACGGGGACCTACGGAACCACTATCTAGTGCTTTAAAGAGGTATTACACTAAAACAGGATCTCATTACAACACCTTTACAGGGAGCTGGGAGTTTGCTCAAGAACAAAATCGATATTTATGTTCATCATGCTTGAAAAATCATATTTTAAAAGACTTTTAATGAAAGACAGTCAGTGACCTTTTAGCTGTTGCACTGCTATTGTGGGAATGACTTTTTTATTTCATTGTAATAATTATGTTAGCAGCTTCTACTTTTTTATTTTTTTTAATTGGCAGTAAGTATGATTAGGAATATAGTAGCACCACCTGAGGCGCAGCAGCTGCCGAGATGCTTTTTCAGTTCATAAATGTAGGGTCAAATTTAGCCTTCCTGTGAATGACAATACTTTAATTGTCTGTTATTTACTGTAAGTTAAGTTCAGAGAATTTGTTCCATACTAAATAAGAAAAAAAAAACACAGTCCCACAAACGATTCACAAGTCAGGAAGCTAGTTTTGCAGTTCT